TATTCTATTCTATTCTATTCTATTCTATTCTATTCTATTCTATTCTATATAATAGGAGTGTGAGTCAGATTGCTTTATTTCTCTAATTCTTACTACAGGGAATCAATTGAGTTGAATTCCTAGTATCAGTTCTTGGAAAATTGTCAACTGCAGGCAAATGAGCTAAGCATTTGACCTCAAGCGTTTGTTAGAAGAACTATAGTGTCAAGATGGCTTGCTTGCCTACAGAACACACTTCACAGTACAGTAAAATCATTCCCTGTCATTTTCTTTTGTGTAACAATTCTCATTACAGGAAACTGAAATCAGGCTTACTCGAGGATAAAATTCACCACCAAAAAGGGAAACTGGAAGTGACTGATGGAAGTACACAGTGCACATCAAGTTCCTGGCAATCACGACAATATTTGCATTTTTTTTTCCTTTCTCCTCTGCCTTACTTTTTGAAAAGCATTGTTCTTTTTTCTTGCTTTTTTTCTTTGCCTCTGTCACAGACAAAGAAAAATCAAACAAACACAATTTGTGTTTCAATATACCAGGACGTTGCTGTGGCAGAGATCTCTGAAGAACAGAGAGATGAGGAACTGACTAATAAGTTGGAGGAAGCAAACCCTGGAAGCAGCAGTTTATTGTCTCCAATTTGTTGAGCATTCTGGGATAGAGCCTGAAGACAAAAATCACTCTTTGGAGACTAAGGTCTCCAAGCTAAAAACTCAAAATAATGTCCAAAATAAAATGCCCAATCAAAGAAGTAAACTATTTAAGTAGTAAATGTCTATTGAGATTCACAGTCATCCAGGTCGCAGTTGCCCCAAAGATGTTTTTTCAAAAGGCAGCTTTGTTTTCCCTTGAATACACTTTGCTTTCCATCCAAGAATCATCTTTAGTTTCCAGAAGCACCTTTGGGATAATTAGGTAGCAACAGCTTGAAGTTTGCTTTCCTGCTCTCCCGTCAATAGCCTTGATAATCTTCTAGTTGAGGGTTGTTAGGCAGCTGTTTCCTTGGATAGCCTCTGACTTTCCAGCTTCATCATTCAGCTTTTTTCTCTGCTTGGACAATAAGTGCCATCAAAGCCAAGCAGCATAAAAGGGAAAAGATGTGTTTGTACAAACTAAAGATAACTCAGCAGATGCCTTATTTCTAGGTTCCTCTTTGATGACCTCAAGCATCTTCTCCCTCACCCAGCTAGCCTTTATCCTCAGCAAGCACTGAGTCTGCAAATTCTGTATTTCTTGCTGATGTGGCTTACTCACAAAGAATCTGAGGTTTTCCCTTCACCACAATTGCCGAAGGATAAAACCTACATTTTAAAAAGGGTAACCACAAACATAGTATATCAGTAATAAAAGTAAAATAATGTCATAGGGGTATTTTTAGTATTTATTTTAAATATTTAATCCCATGCTTCTATAAAATGCACTCAAAGAAAATAAGAAAACCAATTTAAATACATTTTTGAAATATAATTGTGACAATCCAGAATTTACCAGGTACAATCCCCATTCTTTTAAACCATGTAGGGCAGGAGTCTTCAAACTTGACAGCTTTAAGGCTTGTGGACTTCAACTCCCAGAATTCCTCCTCCGGTCATGTTAGCTCAGGAATTCTGGAAGTTGAAGTTCACAAGTCTTAAACTTGCCAAGTTTGAAGATCCTTGATGTAGGTAGGGAGTCTTAGTAGCTTCTATATCCTTGAAATTAATCAAGGTGGATTTTTGCTTCTGGTAAGGTCACATCATCATCCATCTGGACCCTAGAGGTGCATCTTCTCAGTAATAGCACTTGGCTCCTGGATTAAGGCTCCAGATTAAAAACCTAAGGGAATTAATTAATTAATTAATTGATTCTTTATTGGCCAAGTGTGATTAGACACACAAGAATTTGTCTTGGTTCAAATGCTTCAGTGTACATAAAAAGAAAAAATACATTTGTCAAGAATCATAAGGTACAACACTTAATGATAGTCATGGGGTACAATAAGCAATCAAATCACACTAAGAAACAGTCAATATAAATCATAAGGATATAAGCAACAAAGTTACAGTCATAGTCACAAGTGGGAGGGGATGGGTGACAGGAGTGATGAGAAAATTAATAGTGATAGTAATGCAGACTTTAGTAAACAGTTGGACAGTGTTGTGGGAATTAAGGTTAAGATTTAGTATGCTTAATTTATGAGAAACAGAAATTAAAGAATTACGAGGAAAGATAAGGGAGTTTGTGACAACTGAAGCAGGAAAAAAAATCTCTAAATTTTCAAAAAAGAAGATACAAGGGGCTCTCTGAATACGTTAGCTGGGGAAAGACTTAAAGATTTCTCAGCCAAGAAAACACACAAATGCCAAAAGAAAAAAGAAAGAAGTTGCATTCCACTCTTTCTAAGTTTTCACAATCCCCATTCTCAGCCTCTGGCTTGAGTTGTGTTTTTGTTAGCGAATGGCAATGAGTCCTACCATCCTGTTCTCTACCTCTTACTTCTTGCGAGGATGATTAAGGCATTGACCCCAAGCGGTTATCTCCTTCCTCCACTCTTCTCTTTGTAACATTAATAATATCAGAACAATAACAGGATGTACAGACTCAACGGAGGGGAAGGGCTGGCTTCCCAGCTGTAGACCCCTTGGCAACAAGGAAGCGGATCACTCCCTGACTTGCTTCATGCAGTCAAATAACTGATTTTACTTTATCCAACACACTCCCATGACTTGATCTAGATGGTGCTTAGAGAAGATTGCAATCGCCAGAATCTTTTCAAATTGCGATAAAGAGGAAGCCAGGTAAGAAAACACAAGATTTGAGATTTTTTTTTTAGATTTTTTTTTAAAAACCCCATAATTGACAGTTGTGTTGCTTGTCTGTCAAAGTTAGGTGTCCCAGAGTCTCTCCTTAGGATATTTTGTACGCCTGTTGCCAACCAACTTTCTGGATACTTCAAGTTACCTTACCAGAGCCACCTTAACTATCACTGGAGGCTTTCCAATTGAAAAACAGTAGGAAGATAATAGGAGACTTTGTCAGTTCAGGATAAGAAACTTGAGGGCTATGTTGTTACGTGAAAACCCAAACTGTTGCACCCAAATAAAAACATAGAAAAACTTCTAAGGTTTTCTCAGGTTTCGTGAAAACTGATGTTTTGTTTTTCTGGAAATGAACCAACTTCACACAGGAAGAATATTAGAAATGGATTTTTGTTGTTGTTGTTATCTCCAAAATATGTGGCATGGGGAAGATAGTAATAAGACTTGTAGAAAATTGGGAGGGAAATCTCTCTTCAGCCATCTCAGGATGGTGATCCAGCTTTGGAAGGTCAGTCTGGCTCTTTGTTTTACAAAAACCTTACAAAGCCTTATATTTTGAACGTACTCAGTCATTCTCTTGGGATGCTTTGATCTGGATTCCTTCACTAAGCTTGAGAGTTAAATTCAGTTTTAGGCCAGCTCTAGAATTCTGTTGTTTTTAATTCATGTGATTCTGTGAGCTGAGCTGGGTTTTTTAGTCACTGAGCAAAAGTGTATTTATTACTTCTATAAGATTATGGATTTGGGCTATATTCTTAAAAACCACCAAAGAATTGTTATGATGTCTTTGCTATCCATCAATGTCTAAGCATTTTTGAACGGGAGAATAATTTGTACTTAGCAATGCACCAAAGCTATTCCTTGTTCTTATGAGAAGAATATTCTATTTTCCATGTTTGAACTTTACGTATGAGATTTGCAATTGCTATCATTGAGTTTTTATGTACTTCACATTTCTTTAGGCCACTGATCTTCCTTAACAAAAAATAATAATAATCAGGAGTTTAGTAACATATTTTCTGACTAACACATTTTATTAAAAGGCGTAACCTTTTGTGAGTTAAATGTCTATGGAGATTCTCAGTCATTCAGGTCAAGGTTTTCCTAAATATGTTTTTCAAAAGGCAACTGGGCCTCAAAGAAACCACTCGAGATGGGAAGGCTGGGTAAAAATGGAAAAATTGGGGGAAAACAGAGTTTTTTATTATTTTTTTCCCAAACAGCTTTGGAAAAAATGGGGGGAAAACCCAGATTTTCCCCAATTTTCCATGTTTTTCCCCAGGCTTTCCCATTTCTACTTCAGAAACCTTTCTGTTAAGTGAGGGAAAAAAATCAAAAAGTCCACATTGTACCTCCCAAATTGACTGTTCCTCACTTTCAGACTTTTTCTTCTTTTTTTTCACTTTCCACTCCAATCTTTTCATAAGGTAAAAAAAGAAACAATACCATCTGATTTACACAACACCAAACTATAATGTGCTTTGATTGTCTTGGTTAGATGCCATGTCTAGATATTAACATTTGGGGTGAAATCATGATGAATGAATTTATGTGTTTGTGAAGCATGGCTTATTCAGGAAGGAAAGTTTGATGAAATGAGTGAAGCCTTTTCAAATATTGCCTGACTATGATAGTCTATTATGAGAAGAGAAGGAAGATGAAAACAAAAGAGAAAATGAACTTCATGTTGTAGACTTCATATTGTAGCATCTTATTGCCAATGCCTCTTGTTTTGTTTTATTTATTTGCTGTACGCTTTCATTTGGTTTGCCTCAGCTCAGCTGCCTTTGTTCAGTAGACTAAACACAAATGGCTTAATGACATTTTAGTCTAGTCTGTTATGCAAATCCATCTTGAATGATCAGTTTATGGTTCATGGAAATCCAGACAATTAAATGATAAATACTTTTTGAGGACTCTAAAATAACTGCTGAGACCTTGATTGTTATTGTGTGTCATTTTTAATGATCTGTGGACAAAATACATAGGTTTGTGAAGAAAATAGCTTGATTCCACCTGCTTAGATATGGGGCTAAACCCAGGAAGTATGAGATTGATGTCTACCATCAGCCATTGAAATTTATTAGTAACTTTGGCCCAGTTAGTCTCTCTCTCTCTCTCTCTCTCTCTCTCTCTCTCTCTCTCCTTCCCTCCCTCCCTACCTGAGATTATTGTTGTTCGGGGGAAGAAGAAAATGTAAACCTAATGCAGAAAACAGGCATCAATATTGAAAGGCCTCTTCAATGAAATGATTAACGGCCCAGGACCCAGGAGCTTTATTTTCCTCCACATCTGGTCAAACTGCATCAGATAAAATAAAAGCCAGACTCGGGAAATTCACCTAAACAATTAACAGCTTTGGAGGGATTTGCCAAATGGATAACCTGTTCTCATATCCTGCTTTTGTTGAAGCAAGTTGTTGTAATGGAAAACAGGATATATATGGATTTGTATAGTCCTTTCGCCTTTAGAAGCCCTTTGTAATTGGCTGCCTTTGCTGAATTGTAAGAACATCAGATACTGGTTTGAAAGGTGGGGGACACTCTTCTCTAGCTTCACTCCCCCAAATGAAAAAAAAAAAGGCATAAATTGCTTAAGTTAACAAATGCAATGCCCTTGCTATTATTCTCCTCTGCGAAAAAAGAAAAGAATGTTGGCTTGTAGCTGTAGATTCTTCTCAAAGCTGTTCTCTCTGGAGCAAATCCCTGGACATTAAGGTGAGAAAGGTTTTTGGAAAATTAAAGTTGCCAAGTTGCTTCTTTATTCTCTCCCCCCGCCATACAAATGCCATAACTGAATGGCAAACCAAACTGTAGGAGGCAACGCCCCTTCTTTTTTGAGCCCCAACATTATCAAAAGGCACAGGAAAAAGCACCCTGGCTAAGCTTAGGCAGGATCTAAGCAGAGATGAAATGAATCTCTTTGAGACCGAGAAGAAAACTGTCCCGTCACAACCATTATACAGATTGACTACATTATCCCCTCCAGAAGATGATAAAAGAGCTAGAATGAACTTGCAAACCCAGGGGTGGGATTCTACCAGTTCACACCTATTCGCTAAAACCAGTTGTTAACATTCTAAGCAGTTGGGAGAACCGGTTGTTAGAAGAAATTACTGGCCTAATCCTGTAAGGAAGGCAGGAAGGAAACATTCTGGTGTTGCTTACGGAAACTGCCTCTCCGTTAACCCTTATTACATTCTTGGCAGGACTAGACTTTCTGTCTCAGGAACATCTCTGGAGTTTTTTTCGCCTCCTTTGCTGGTACTTTGATTGTGTGGAATGACCATTCAAAGTTACAATGGCACTGAAAAAAGTGACTTTTCAGCATTTTTCATACTTACGACTATTGCAGCATCCCCACAGTCACGAGAGGCCAGGCGAGGAGATGCATGCCTCGATGTGAGTGATGTTGAGTTGGCCACGCCTAGCCAGTCACATGACCACCAAGCCACACCCACCAACTAAGACACACCCACAGAACCAGTTGTTAAAAAATTTGAATCCCACCCCTGTACAAACCCATATGTTTGGTTTAGCAGAATGGGTCACAAATCTAAACATAAGCACCTAGATAGGTAGATAGATAGATAGATAGATAGATAGATAGATAGATAGATAGATAGACAGATAGATAGATAGATTTGTTGTTGTTAGTTGCAAAGTCATGTCCGACCCATCACGACCCCATGGACAACGTTCCTCCAGGCCTTCCTGTCCTCTACCATCTTCTGGAGTCCATTTAAGCTCACGCCAACTGCTTCAGCGACTCCATTTATCCATCTCTTTCTCTGTCATCCCCTTCTTCTTCTATTGCCCTGAATCTTTCCCAGCATTAGGCTCTTCTCCAGTGAGTCCTTCCTTCTCATTAGGTGGCCAAAGTATTTGAGTTTCATATATTCATATATATTGAGATAGATAGATAGTCCTCATTTAATGATAACAATTGGGCTTGGACTTTTTAGTCAAAACTCATTATAATCATTAAGTGCAGCAGTTGTAACTTTGAGGTTGCGATGTAAGTAAACTTTTTTGACTATTGACAAACTTAATAGTCGTTAAGCAAGGACGCCCTATACAAGTAGGCGTAGAATGCACACTACTTATTTTAAAGGAAAATAGCTTGCCCAAATTGGGGCTTGCTTGCAAAAGGTGCACAGAAAAATAGATTCCATTATCAGAATGGCTCAAGAAAATGCGTATAATTTTCCGCACACTCTTCTACTTCTCTTCTTTTTTGGCTAAGTTCACAGGATTGCATAAATGAGCTGTAAAGAACCTAGAGGCAGGAGAATGAAAAATTAAGTTTGTATAAAATGGGCAGATGCTACTATGAGGGTGGGGGGGGAATGATACACTAATCAGAAAGTGATTGAATATTCTGCATTCCATGGAGACAAAATATTGTACTGCACATTATAAATGGAGCCTGTGGCAGAAATCCTCCAAAGCCTCACCCTTCAGGCAATTTTCGTTTCCTTTCCTCTTTCTATGTAAGGAAAGAGATGGACCCTTCAAACTATGCCCAGAGTTCATCAGGGTTTTATTTCGATTCTGGTTTAGGGTAGCTGGAGAGAGGCCACAAATGCCTAAAAGGAGGGAAATGTATTGTCCAGTTTCTACACGACCCCCAGCCCTCTGTGCCTTAACTTTTCACACGATTTAGTGTGAGCCCTTTGGGCAGGCATTCCCCCCCCCCAAAAAAAAGTACATTTTTTTGCAAGGGTTTTGTGAATTGCAGACTTCAGCACAAAATTCTGAAAAGTGCAGGTTTTTGGCAGTTCGTGCCTTCCTGTTTGCCTATGCTGGGGAAAGCATCCTGTTTGGGCACCCTCTGAGCTCTTCCCAACAGCATTAGGCAGGCCAGCCTCCTCCCTGCCTTGAGTGTTATAAGAAACAGATCAGCCCCAGAGCATCCATCGAGCTAAATAGGAAGCAGGTTAGATTCAGTTTAAAAGAAAAAAAAAGAACTGCAATGTC